AGTTTTATAATCCTTAGTGACGAAGTATTTTCCAAATTGAATTTCTTGTAGATTCCTATAATTACGAATTTAATTTTCGGTACTTTATTTAAAAACGTATAAATATAATGCAGTACATTAAAAAATATTGTCAGTTAATTATAATAAAATAAATAAATTAAATTTATATTCGAACGAAACAAAGGAACCGGATTTATTATATCCGGATAAAATGTAAATTCGAATCGGAAGAAACCGGATTTTATTCTAATGCCGAATATCGAATTTGGGGAATTATTGAAATACAAGGTTGGAAAATACTAACTTAATCGCATAATTTTTTTTTTATCAGACAGCCATAATTAGAAAGAACACATGTACAAAAATGCGTTTTGTTTATGTTGTACTGGTTTATCACAAAATTCATTATTGGGATCGTGACAAAAAATATTTTTATATAAAGGAAATTATTTTTCGTTTTTTTTTATTTCCCATCAAAAGAAAAAAAATAAGATAGATTTTTTTTATAATAACACAATAAAATATTATATATTACATTATTCTATTTTTTTTTTTTTTAAAAAAAAGAATGCCTAAAATCAGAAAGCCAACAAATAACAATCGCATTATTAAGTCAGATATCGATTCCAAGTTAAATTTTGGCAACGATGGCTTTAATTATATTCTCAAACCGACAATCCCTTCCACCTTAACAATAAATGAAATTGTTAGTGTTATTAAAGCACCTAACAATAATAAAAAGGCAAAAACTTTTCCAAATGCTTTCATTGCATATAAAAAGGCATTAATTAAAGAGAATCGTAATAGAAACATCAAATTACCTCCTATGCGCCACCTTTCTAAAATTACATCGTGTTATTGGGATGAAGAACCAGAAAATGTAAAAGAATTTTACAAAAAGCTATCCGAGAAAGCTAAATCTTTGTATAAGCTGGAGAATCCGATTCAAATTTTATTTGATAAACATATGGATGAAGTTGAAAAGGTTTCACGTGTTACAGGTGTAAATAATAAAGCTGACTCGAATTATATCCAAGACATTGAGGATCCCGTTGAAAATATAATTTATACGCAAAATTCAACAAGTGATCTTCCGATTGAAGATAATTCTGCCAGCGTTATGAATTTTCTCCTCGAAAACAATTATATTAATAGTTCCCAAGCGAATTTTGTTAATAATAATTTTTTCGAAGACCCGTACATAATGAATCAAGTTCATAACGATCAAGTGTATATTTCAGATTATGTCAATTTTACCCAAGGCATCGATGATTTAACTTTTACGCATTCGTATCTTCCTACTGAAGATTATTCCTCTTGTAACCTTTTCGATCGAGAGTATGAAATGGAACATATTTTTACCGATTTCGCATTGGTTGAAAATAATCAAGAAAGTGTTTCAACTTATGGCACAGACTCGGATTATAAATTATAGAACTGTGGGAATTCTTCAAAAGCACCTCGACGTCACTCCTTAGAACTTATTGTTAATGATAAATGAAGTTATATAACTAAATTACATATTGACAAATTAAATGTAATTTTTAAGAAACATCGCAAAATGATAATTTAAAACTCTGTTCAACATGAATAATTATTATTTAAAAATAAGGCTTTTTTACTTGTTTATCATTTTACTTCAATGAGACATGTTCTAATTCTCTTTTCACTTTTTCTGCTAAAAAATCACGTTCTTTAATTCAATTAATTTTCTTATTTTAAAGTATATTTCATATATTTATTAATTATACTTAAGGAAAAAATAAAATAAATATCGTTGACATTATTTATCTTAGTTATATGCCGTCAAATTTAATAAATTTTATAAAATACTAAATAATAAAAACTTTCTCTTTGATACATTAATCTTTATTAAATACACTAATTACATTCTTTTTTTTAAAAAAAAAAATAAAATAAACGTATTGGATAATGCAAAATTGAATTTGATTGATAATGTTGTTGCTTTATTAATAATTGTAATATAATCTTTAAAAAAGTTTATATACCACCAAGAATTTTTAAATGTATTAAAAAGAATGAAAAATACTACACGCAAAACTTATTGTATTGAATTGCAACATACAATAAAAACAAAGAACAATTAAATATTAATAAAATATAATTAAATAATTAATATATCATTGGGATAAAAAAAAAATAATAATTTATTATTAATGTATTCCAAATTTAATAACAAATAAATTCAATATTTTAAATTATTAATATTGAATTAAATAATTAATTATAAACAAATTATTATTACTACAAATATAAAAAAAAAAAAACTTAAAAGAATAAGACACTATTGAAAACTTTGTGAAAGGGCCTGTAGGCTTAAATTGGAAGTTTGTTGAATTTAAAATTAACATTGATTTATTTTGTGTTCAATTGAGTAAGTATATTTATAGGTGATTTCGATTGATAATCGGTTAAATTAACTGATGATAAGACGGATCCCTAATTGATATTTTTTATTTTAATATCGTGTTAAATCTCCGTATTTTATTGTATTAAAAAGTTAAATATAAACGCGTTATATAGATAGTTAATTTAAATATCAAAGAAAATCATTAAATTACTTCCCGGGAAAATTGGCAAAAATTTTTGGTAAATGTCAATTGATGAATATTCATAGATAAATATGATGATCTTACAATCGAGAATCCTACTTTAGTGAGCTCCTCGAAACTCCACGTGGTTATTGGTTCAAAATAAATTTGTTTTATATATTAAGCTAAAACTATCATTCAATATTTTTTTATTTAAAAAATTAAGAACTGAATCAGCGAATTATTAACTTTTAAACGAGTTCCTGCCGATATGCACAAACAACTTATTCAACGTAAACATTTTTATGGTTTGCTCTTTTTTATAATCTTGGGGAATTTCTGATATATATGAGTTTGATCATGCAAAGAAAGTTCTCCGCTCACTACCAGGAAAAAATAAATTTAGATATATATAACTGATTAAATCTTCGCGTGTAAATAGTGATGAAATACGTCGTGATGTTTAGGTTTATACTGTCGGTAAACTGTCAAACTTCAGAACTAAAATTATATTATTATTTTTTGATCTATTATTATTTTACTTTACTTCTTCAGATCAATAAAATATTTAAGACTTTTTAAAGATTAAAACTATTATTTACGGAAATTAACTTTATTTACTGTCAGTATGTACATGTGCAGATCTCTGGCGCTTAAAACTCATAATATTTTCTTATGATTTGATTGGTTGCAAACTAAGAACAAAGAAATATTTTTCATGTCTGATGATTACTATAATAAATATGGCAATCTCTTTAAAGATTTCAAGTCGTGAAACTCAAATGTTGAAACTCTACCAAAAAACAGTCTATAGATATTTCCATACCCATTTTGTAATACATGCAGTAAAATTTGTAGTTAATATTGAAAAGTCGTATTTTTTTTTTTTTTTTTTTTTGTAGAAAATGTTGTACAATTTAAGAAATGGCCATATTCCGTATTATTTATTAGAAAAAAAAAACATGTTAGTGTGGTTACATTATTATATTATTACAGCATAACTATTCTTTTGTATTCAAATCGAATTCGCGTGTAACATAATTGAACATTACACAAACTACAAATACAACTATTTCTCACGCTAAAAAAAGTATTATTTGCGTTCAGCCATAGGGTCACAACTAGGGTTTTGAGGCCTGAGTTTCAGTAGTTTGTGGTCGAATATCGAACGACGCCTGAGTACTTCAGTACCTGTTTGTAAAGTTGGATAACTTACTCGGTGAGGGTTTTCGGCTTCTCCAAGTATGGTACCCGTTCGGCTAGTGACAAGCGAGGTCACACGGGTTGAAGAATACCTACGGCTTGGCGTTAGTCGTATCAGTAATGGTGCACTACATAATTTTTTTTTTCAAAAAAAAAAATAAAATAAAATAAAATATTTTTTGCGTCTTAAAATCCTTTGCCAATATTTTTTTTTTTTTTTGGCTTTTTTAATTTATTTAACTAACAGACACGCGAAGAATCGGTAACATATGATATAAAGATTTTCACATCCCGGATTTAATTACTATGATTACTAATTTCTTCATAATTTCATAATGATCAATTATCTCAAATCATTTGATTTTATGTTCAAATTCTCTCTATAAGGTAATAATTTAAAAATTTTTTGAATAAAAAACAATATAAGTACATTTCAAATCGTATTTAAGGATGTAAATTATCAACGGACAAGTTTTACGCGCGACAAGTGCAATTTGTGACGTAGACTCGGATTATACTGATGTTTGTTCCTCTTTTATTGAGGGTTCATACTGCACGCAAAATTCATCAAGTGTATCTAATGTATACTGTATATTTTCCGATTGAAGATTCTAATATCAACATACAGATTTCTTCTCTTGATAGTGATTCTAATAGCATGCATCCATGATAATTTTTAACCTTTTCGATCCGTATAAAATCTTATAAATCCAGAGATACTAGAAGTATATTGACACACAAATTATTTTATAACCAATGTAGTTAAAGTTACAAAGAAAATGCACAGCCAAAATTTAATTGGTTGAGAAGTTGAAATTTGCATTTTTTATGTGACTTTCTGAATCATCACACCAAATTATGTAATTTAAATTTGTATCAAATCGTTGACAACATTTATCAAAAATTTTAGCCATTATTCATTTACTGTACGTTAAATTTAAAAATTGCATTTTGAAGAGGTTATATTAAAAAAATTATTCTGACGAGTAATTTAAAGTATTTATTTTTTTACAAATAAACAGTAGTAAATTTTATTTTAAAATAAAAAATGAAATTTGCAAGAACGAAAATAAACGTGGTACAAGCTATCCAGAGATGCAATAGATTATAGTTTAACATATTTTGTGTTTAATACTTTTATTAAATTCAAAATATTGAAGAAAATCATTTCAGATTTGTAATATCAGTGGAAAAAAATTTAATATCGTTCTCATGTATATTATAAATACTCGCCCTCCTTTTTTCTTATATAAGTATTAATCTTCTCCTGATTTATATTTGAATGCTAATTATTTACAAAGTTATCGAACGTTTAAGATTTCTGATTTTTCAATGGGAAGATGCCTCCAATTTCAAGGTGAGCTAATCAATTGAAAAAAGCACGCGAAGCACAGGCCCAAAAGTTAAAATGAATCAAAAATTAAATGTCAACGAAACAAATTAACAGCTGCAGCTAATCATCATCTTTTACAATTATGCGCTATCCAAAAGGCTCAGATGCAGGAAAACTTATATCACCATACCTCCAAACTAAGGCATACAATTACAGTACGTAAGGCTCACATTTTTATTATTCAGCTGGAAAATCATCACCATACACCAAAAGCTATTGGCAATTTTTGAATTTAATTTAACACTTAATATAATATTTAGTACAATTTTTACTCTTCAGAAGACGAGCGCATGAGATGCCAGAGAAGATTTATGAATGGATAGCTTTGCTTTATAGCTTCGTTAAAACACATATCTATTTTATTATTATTCATCAACAACAGGTTGAGAGACTTTTTAATAAATTAGATTTAAAAACTCATGCAGACATGTCATTATCTCTAAACAATCAAAACTACAAGTAAATTGAAAAAAAATATTTGACAGTAGGTCTTGAAGAAGTACGTGCTTAAAAAAGAAAGCAAAAAAAAAAATTCCACTTCAAGAAAGGCAACCATTTGTTGAAGAAGTTGCGTCAAATCTTTTAGCTATATACTAGGCAATAAATAACTGCTGAAATGTTAGCATTATCTTTATCAGTTATTGTATATTAGGAAAATATATGGGAGGTAAGCTATTAAATTCACGTTACGGATCATATGATTTACTATGTTCGTAACTCGATTTTAATAGATATGTCTCAGTGACACATGTACACACATATTTAATTTATTTTTTTTTTTTTTGTGTAAATAAGACGATAAATTGAATTTTTAAAAGTATTTGTTTCATGACAGTTCTTTTTAAATAATAGATAAAAAGCAAATGTTATTCAACTTTCAAACCAATATTATTGGCTTACATTGATTATTTTAACCAGTTACAATAACTAGCTGCGGAATTGAATTAGATTTACGTAGTTAGTATAATTTTTATTTTCATTTGTCACGAAGGTATTTTGCATGATAATTAAGAAGAAATTTAATCAAAGGTTTTGATGAGATTATGTAAGCCGATATTTGGTTATTCTTAACGTGAGCATTTGTAGTTTGTGTAATGTTCCATTGATTTAGTATAATTTATTCTACAAAAATAAAAGTTAAAGGAAAAAGAACAAAAAAATAAAAAGAGAAATTATTTTATTATGCCGAAGTTTAGTCATATCTGTTACACGCGATTTGGTACCTATAACCATTGCCTAATTCGATTCAATAAATGTTGAATACACCATCATTTTTTTTCTTTCAAACGAATCCTTGGATGCACCTAATGATGCGTAATCACTAATAGATGATACGGAATATGGCAATTTGTATTGAACAATTTGCTTAGTGATTTACGGTATGTGCTACTAACAACAAAAATCATGCATAATTAACTTACACAATTTGCTCCTATTACAAAATGAGATATGGTAATATCTATAACTTTTTTTTTTTGAATGAGTTTCAGTTTTGAGTTCATGTACCTTATAGAGATTACCACATTTGTTATAATAATATCTTAATCTCATAAATCTTTTCTTTGTTCATAAACAAGTTTGACAACCAAATAAAAAAAAAATACAAGAAATTGTACTAACATAGTAAGAAAGCATAGCATATAATTGTTTGACGTATCATCTATTAGAAATAAAAAATGTTTAAGTGTGGTTTGTGTACACTATTATATTATTATATTATCTAGAAAGCAAATCTGATTAGGAAATGGCTATAACTTTTAGCCATGCCTAATTCGATTCATACATGATTGATAAAAGACACTATCTTTTTTTTTCTTTCAAAACGAATCTCTGATGCGGAAACACTAATAGATGATACGGAATATGGCAATTTCTTTTATGAACAATGCTTTGTTTACGGTGTGGCATTTTCTTTGTATGAACAATTTGCTTTGTGATTTACGGTGCTACAAAAAAAAAATCAAACGATTTTTTCAAAATTAATCGCTCGTATTACAAAATGAGATATGGTAATATCTATTGACTGTTTTTTGAATGAGTTTCAGTTTTGAGTTACATGTCGACCTGAGAACCTTATAGAGATTACCATATTTGTTTTAGTAATAAAAATTTTCTTTGTTCTTTAACATTGTCGATTATTATATTGGAAAACAACATTTTTCGCAATTAAACTCTAAGAAGATATTATAAGAGTTACAAACGCCAAAGCAAAGGTACATGTACATACTGACACAGAAAAGAAAGTTAATATTGTTGATGTATTTTCTTTATTAATCACTTTTTATAAATTTTTGTGTCCCTTGCATAACTAACTTACTATTAAAAAACTTTTCACACAAAAAAAAATTTTCAAACAAAAAAGGGAAAATTCAACTCAGGTCCGTTTTCTTATCAGGATGCAGTTTAAACATATGACGTATTTCATCACTGTTTACGCGAAAGAATTAATCATTTATATTATCTAAAGATATGTTTAATCTATCCTGGTTATAAACGGCAGGAGAATATTCTTCACTTGACCAAACTTATATATATATCAGAAATGCTCCAAGATTATTAAACAAACGCGGAAACAATTTTGGCACTTGAGTTATTTAAATTTGATCAAACAGCTGATATAAGAGTGTTTATATGCATAAGTCGACAGTGCATATCGGTCTTAGCTCGTTTTAGAGCAAATGAAGTTAATGATTCGCTGATTCAGTCCCTTTTTTTTTAAAAAAACAAAATTATCATATCATATACTTTTGCAGTATATAAAAAAATTAATTTGTGGTAATAACCTATATGGAGCTTCGAGGAATCGAATTCATAATAGTAACAGTGAATTCTCGAATGTAAGATTATCACCACTACAGGTTTTCTTTGATATTTAAATAACTATGTCGGGCATTCTTTTTTGAAAATCACGGGACGGCCGGTCATTTGCAGATCGATAAAAAAAACTCGGTAAAAAAACTGTATAACATTTTTTTTTTTTTTTTGAAGAAAAACATTATCGCTAAGAGTTCCGAGTATAGCGGCACAATTTTTTTACCCATAAAAATATGTGGATGGCTATTTCGAATCTTTATAAATGCTCGAATATTATTGGCTGTCCCGTGACTTTGAAAAATGGCTGTAACTTTTAATACGGCGGATATACACTAAAACATAAATAAAAATATAAACGAGGTGATCGATTCACTTATAATAACCAAAAATTAATTAACCGATCGAATCACCGATAAATATACTCTTATTGAACACAAGATAAATCAACATTGTATTGTGATAATTCTTTTGTTTATTTTATATACTACGGGCCCTTTAAGTGTCTCATTCTTTTAAGTAGTTTTTTTAACTACATATACAATATTAATTAAATAAAATAAAATTTTCAATTAAATTTTATTGTAATTCAATATTACTTTCGAAATTAAGCACACCGTTTTAAATCGCTAAAACATTCGATCGCAGATCTCGTGCATATTCCGTCTAGTGTTATAGGTCCAGTTATATTTGGTTGGACCATTGGGACTATAAGCCCAGTCACGTTCAATGGTCCAGTTTTATAAGTCCAGTTAGTCCAATTTGATCCGATTGGCTAACAATGATTCTGTATATCTGCACACAAAAAAAAAATTTCACCTCACGTTATAACCCTCATCACTACGGTATTAAAATATTTTCGGGGGCCAAGTTTCATATGCTGTACAAAATCACGTGCGAGCTATCTTAGTAATGAAATACATAAATAACTTATTAGATTGGATTATTTACTTAAAAATTTAAAATCTATGATTAAACTGTTTAGAAAAATTTACTTACAAACTTAAAATATTAATTTGAATATAATTTTATATAAAATAATATTTATAAAATTATTAAAAATTTTATGTTGATTAAGAAGATTTTAAAATAATACATTTTTAAAAAAATTTATTTAAATTAATTTTATAAATATATATTATATTATAGTAATTTTTATTTTTAATTATATAATAAAAAAATCTAAAGGCTTAAAATTTGTAATTTTTAAAAGTTTATTATTTAACCTTTAACAAACTTATTAAAATTTACTTTTTAGCAATATTAATCATAATAAAATATTATAAAATTTATCATAAAGAATAATTTAATTATTATAATTTTTATAATTATTAAAAATTTTATAACTTCTATTAATAGTAAAGTAATCAGTTTGCAAACATATAAATTTTTAAGAAATTTTTAAAAAATTATAATAAATCTTTAAAATTTAAAATGATATAAAAACTTTTTAATATCTTTAAACTTTCTAATAAAGTTAATAAAATATATTCTTCATAGAATTCTTATATTACTAAAATTAATATTTAATATTTTATTAAGAAATTAATATTTTTAAATTTGCAGATAAAAATGTCTTTTAGATAATCTAAAGATAATATATATCTTATTAATTTAAAATAAATTTTTAAAAATAAATTAAAAGGAGATTTATAGATTTATAGTAATAAGAAACTTATACTATATAATAACTTTTTTGTAAGTTAATTTGGTAATTTAATTTATATTATAATTAAAATATTTTAAAAAAAAAATAAAATAAATAAAAAAATTTATAAAGTTTAATAAACTTATAAATAATATAATTCTTTTAATTTTTAAAAAGTGATTATTTAATTTAAAATATATTAATAATAAATTTTATAATTTTATTTATTCAAATATTTTTTAAATATATTATTATTATTATATATTAATTTATAAATTATCTTAAATTATAATATTTAACTATTTGTAATTTTTAATGTACACTCCTATGAAAGAATGATTAGAAACTCAAAAATCAAAATAATAATTAAGATAATCAACTAATAAGAAAAATTTTTTTATTAATAAAATTAATTTGATACTTTAAATAAACTTATACATTATAATAAATAGTATATATCTTGAAATTTTTGTGACAATTGGATTTTTATTAAATTTTTAATTTTTAAATTTAATTAAAAAAATTGCATAATTTGTAAAAATTTTTTGTTATAATAAAACTGCAAATTTTTGACTAAAGGTTATTTTTAGCAATTAAATAAATGTATTTAATATAATAAAAGAAATATTATATTTATTACTGCAATTGTTATGGTTAAAGATTTTAACAATTTAATTACCTAATTAGTTTAGGTTATATTATGACGGTTATATCTAAATTTAGAATATAATCACTACTGAACCTTTCATTTTGTAAAATTTAATTTAATATAAAATGAGTTCATTATATGATACTCACTCTATATACTGAACTGTTCAGTATATAGAATCTACTAATAAAATTAAAAACATGTAATCATATAAGTAATATTAGAATTAATATTTATATTATTATACTATATTAATAAAATTATTTTAAAATACAAATTATCACAAGCCTCACTACAATATTTGTGTAAATTCAATATTAGGAAAACTTAGAATTTGTGTAGCTGAAAGTATAACTTTTATGATATAAGAGTTCTTTAAATAAAATTTCTGTATTCTGATTTTATGCTTATAATAATTTATATTTTAATTTAAGTCACGTAATTGTTTAATAAATCAAATATATAGCTAATATATTTGATTTGGCCAATATAAGTTCAGATGTGATATATGATATTTTACTATATAATTTTAGTATATCTAGTAAAATTAATTATAAAAAAATTGGTTCTGTACTACTTTGTTTAATATAATGAATCTTTAGCATAAACAGGTTCGTTATAACTAGTAGTGACTGTATTTAAATTTTAGAATAATATTTTTTTTATTATATCAAATACATTTACATAATACTAAAATATTTTTTAAGCTAAATATATGTAATTTTATTATAACTAAAAATTTTCACAAATTATGCAATTTTTTTAATTAAATTTTAGAACTAAAAATTTAATAAAAGTTCAATTGTCACAAAATTTTAAGATATATACTATTTATTACAATGCATAAGTTTACTTAGAGTATCAAAGTCAATTTTATTAATAAAAAATAATTTTTTCTCATTAATTGATTATTTCAATTTTTATTTTGAATTTTGAGTTTCCAGTCTTTTTTTTCAGGGAGTGTATGTTGCAATGAATTTTAGATATAGTATTTTTCATTCTTTTTATAAAGAATAATTTATCAAAAGATATAGTATTATTTAAAATTTAAATCAGCAATTATAAATATTATATAAATTTAGTATTATAAAAATTTATTCAATTTAACCCTATATAACTAAGATAAATAAATATCAATGTATTTATTTAATATTTCTTTAATATAATTAATAATGATATGAAATAATAGACTTTAAATAAGAAAAATAATTGAATTAAAGAATGTGAATTATTAGTAGAAAAAGTGAAAAAGAGAATTAGAACATCTCTCATTAAAGAAAATAATATATAAGTATTAAAAAACACTATTGTTTTAATAAATGTACCACGAAGTAATTATTTATGATGAACGAAGTTTTCAAATTATCATTATGAGATGTTTTCAACAAAATATTACATTTAATTTGTCAATATGTATTTTAATTATAACACGATTTATTAAATTTTTAAATTCTATTTATCAAGGCAATGTTAAAATTTATAATTATAGTTTAGAAGATTAATGAGTCGAGGTGCATTAAAATTTTCTGCAATTCATTGATCTTCAAAAAGGTACATATTCATATTTTCAACGGGAAGAGCTTCCCCGGTTCCATTATTGATATAATTCGAGTCTGTGCCATAAGCTGAAACATTTTTTAGGTTATTTTCAACCGATACGAAATCGGTAAAAATATGATCCATCCCATACTCTCGATCGAAGAAGTTACAAACGGAATAATCTTCTTTTATGGGAAGATACGAATTCGGCGCGTAAAAATTATATCCTCAACGGGAACCTCAAAGCCTTGGGTATAATCTGAATCAACATGCAGAGGTGGAAATTGCACGTTCTCGCATTCCAACTTTTTAATATACACTTGATCGTTAGGAACTTGATTCATTAAATACGGGTCTTCGAAAAAGTTACTATTAGGAAAACTAGCTTGGGAACGATTGATATAATTGTTGTCGAGGAAAAAATTCATAACACTGGCAGAATTATCTTCAATCGGAAGATACCCAATTGTTGAATTTTGCATATTTTCAACGGGATCCTCATTGCCTTGGATATAATTGACATAATTCGAGTCAGCTTTATTAATTACACGTGAAACCTCAACTTCATTCATATTTTTATCAAATAAAATTTGAATCGGATTTTCCAGCTTATACAAAGATTTAGCATCCTCAGATAGCTTGCTGTAAAATGCCTTTACGTTTTCTGGTTCTTCTTTCCAATAACATGATGCGATTTTAGAAAGTTGGCGCATAGAAGGTAATTTAATGTTTCTATTACGATTCTCTTTAATTAGTGCCTTTTTATACGCGATGAAAGCATTTGGAAATGTTTTTGCTTTTTTATTATTTTTAGGTGCTTTAATAACACTTATTATGTCATTTAAAGATAAGGAGGAAGGGAACACCGGTTTGAGAACATAATTATAGTTAATATTAGTTTCTTTATTATTATTAACCTTGGAATCGATGTGATTGTTATTTGTTGGCTTTCTGATTTTAGGCATTTTTTATTTTATTGAAAAATAAAATAAAATAATTATGTATGGTAAGTTGACTTATGTAATTTATAAAAAAATTATCTTATATTTTTTTCTTGAGGTAAAAAAAAAACACGAAAAAAACAATTCCGTTATATACTAAATAGAAATAAAAAAAAAAAAAAAAAAAGAGGGAAACAATGTATTAATCGGCGATCAATTATTTGATAAAAAAAAAAAGTTTTTAGGCTAAATATTAAAACTTACTTTAAAGTTAAAATAATGTTACACGAAAAACAAATATTTATTTTATAAATAAAATCCAGCATGACTGAAATTCTATTTACGCACAAATATTACACAAGATTTTTATATAAGAATACGTGTGCCGAGAAGTATCATATGGTGACACCCTAAGGACAATTATGAATGCCATAAAAAAAATTTCACCATATTATTTTTCACTCGCTTTACAATTAAAATGTGGTGACCCATCTCTGAGATCTCTTG